CCCGCGCATCCGCCGCCTCCTCCTCTCATCCGCTCCCCTGCTTCCCAATGCGCATAACACGACGGTGTGGAGTTCCAGTCTCACTATTATTCGCGTCGGCGGACAGGTACCAAATCAGCGTATCGGAAGAAATGGGAGGGAGGGGTAGAATGTCAAATCTGGCGCGAACGCACCTATGGTCCCCTTCTCTTTACACATGCACATTATGAATACTTCTCACCTCTCTCCCCTGACTCTGTTCTGAAGATGTTCGTCCCCCTCGACGCACTGTTTTACACATGGATTTCACACATTGATTTTATGGTGCTCCGCTGTGGCGTTGATATCATTTACGGATCGGCGTTTTGCTCCCGTCGTTCAGAGTGGCGCTCTCGCCCAATTGCAGGTCACTTCTCTGGCCCCGAGTCCTTCATCGTTGTCGCCCCCCTCCTTTCCCCTCCTCCGCCTTCCCATGGTCCTCCTCCTCCCGCTCTTTCTCTTCAAACTCCTGCTGCTGCGAGTCGTCCTCGTCCTCCCCCATCCTCTTCCTCCTCCTTTTCTTCCTGCTCATCCTCCAGCTCCTGCGCCACCCCCTCCTTCGAGGTACGCAGCCTCCTCTTCTCCGCCTGCGCACCACGCGATAAGGGGTCCTCCCTGTGCTTTCTCAGGTCCGCCTGCGACACGCGTCGACGGACAAAGGCACGGCCGTGCAGTGGGAAGGAATGGGGTGGGAGGGGCAGGATGTCAGTTCGGCAGCACATCACGGGAGCTTTGCATACCCTTTTAGTTCTGTCTCTGGCGTTCAGTCGGGCCTGTCCCTCTACAGGAGGAATATTCAAGAATAGGCAAACCATCGAATGGGGACGATGTTTTGACAATCTTTGAGCGTATTAGGAATATGTTGTGAGTATTTTATACCTTTCGCCCAACATCCCCCTGTAGGGGGACAGGCCCGACCTAACTCTAGCGTCGATGAGCGTCGATCAGCGTTTGAGAGTCGATGAGATAGCGCCCATTTAGCGTGGTTAGCGTCGATATTAGCGTCGATTTGGCGTCGATTAGCGTCGATTTAGTGTCGACTAGCGTCGACTCGCAGGTGCCGACAAAATGGTACGGGAGGCTCCCATGAGTTGCCATCGAAACGTCAGGTATGGCGCGAGCGCTTGCCCCTCCCCCCCTGTTTTCTTCCCCCTCAGCCGCCCCCTTCCTCCGCCTCACACCGCCCCTCCTCCCCCACCCCATCTTCAGCCCTTCCCCCCCTTCTCATGCCCCCCCCTCGCCCAAGGGTGCCAAGACCTGAACCGTTCAGCTCCAGAGGCTTTCTCGTAGCGTACCTGCAGGTCGTACCGCCAAGACGCTGGAATCAGGACCACTTAGGGCTCGGGAGCGGCCCTGGTTGCCTGGCCTCCTCTCAGATCTATGCCAGGGAACTCACGTGGCCGAGGCCGTCGCCGTGGCCAGAAAAGCCCCGTCCGCTCCCCACTGGGCACTCGTTTTTTATGGCACACGGTGGCTGCAACGGTGACGGCAGGCCACGTCCGCCCTTGACGATGTCGTGAAACAAGGCGACCTCGCCGAAGACCATGGCCGGAGCCCTGTGGACCCCATCTTCCTGCGGCATCTCTCGAGCCGAGTCGATTAGTGATGGGTCCCAGGGCCCGAAGCCAGGCGAACACGCCCGGTGTGAAAGAACGCGGCGGCGAGCCCGGGGCGGGGCGGGGGAGGTGAGAAGGGACGGGTCTTCTCCGGCTGCTCGGAAGTCCCCCCTTGCCTCCTCCGGAGAGGCAGAAGAACTTCCTCAGAAGGCCCTCTGGGCTTCCGAGGAGCCCGCCTCCCCCCTCGCTCGCCGCCCACAGCACGCAACGCGTGGATCCCCAGGGCCGCCGCCTCCCCCCCCCGCCCGCCCGCCTCCCGCCCCCATCCCAGGGGGCGGCGCTGGCCGCCCGCGGGCCGCCCGGAGCGCGCCGCGCGCGGCGCGCGTGTCGCGCGTGGATCACTGGGAGCGTTCCACTGCTCGCAGAGTGCCTACCCTCGGTGGCCACAGGGTGAGCCCTGCCCCCAGCTCCGACGATTTCTGGGGGAGGGTGGGGGTTCACACTTCGCTCGGGAGCCTACGCTTAACGATTCTAACATCCCTACAGGGCGGGGGCTACCAAAAACAAAAGAAGTAGCGTTTAAGAAGGGATAACGTATGTTTAAGCAAACAAGTGTAAATATGGCTTATGATAACTTAAAAATAACAGGGGGGGTGACTATTCCATGGTGATATCTTAAAAATGACCAGGGGGCCCGCGCACATGTGGCCAAGTGTGTTAGGTGTGCCAGGTGTGCCACGTGTACCTCCAGGATGTAGGTGTGAGCGTTTGTCCGTGCCTCCACATCATCTCTCGGGCTTTCGTCATCCCAATTCGTCCTCGTCCGTCCTCCTTCCCCTTCTCCTTTGCCCTTTTTGCCCCCCCCGTCCCTTCCCTCCGACCCCGCTCTCGGGGCCCCCGCTGGACTTCCTGCCGCCGCTCGCCGCCAGCCCGCGGCAGCCGTTTGGCTTTCAGGGCTTTCGGGCCCCAGGGGGCGGCGGCGCCGCCGCCCGCCCCCCTCGCGGCCGAGGACCGTGAGGAGGGGAAACGCGGGTGGAGGGCGGAGGAACGGACATGTCGGGCGGGCCGGCGGGGTAGGACGAGGAAGGCATGGCGCGGGGGGGCGGTGGGCCTGCTCCCCGTCGTTGGGGCCTGCTCCCCGTCGTTTCGGGGCCTGCTCCTCGTCGTTTCGGGGCCCGAGCGGCGACGTCCCCGTGGAGGTCGTCGTCGTCCTCCGTCGTCGGCGCTCCTCCCCCCCCACCCTCCTCCTCCTCATCCTCCTCCTCCGCGTTCCTCCTGCTCCTCCCCCTCCCCCTCCTCTCCCTCCGCCCCCTCGTTGGCTCCTGCTGCGCGGCCCTCACCGCAGCGCGGCGGGAACGCGGGGGGGGGAGTTGCGTGATGAGAGGGGTCTCAGCCGCTAAAGACCCCTCCATCACCCCACTCCTCCCTCCGTAGGGGTGCATGGAGGTTCGGAGGAGGAGGAGGAGTTGGTGAAACAGATGATGTGTTTTTTTTCGGGCTGCCCTTAGGACGTCATGGCTGCCGACGGCGGCGGCTGGGGCGACCTGTCGCAGCTCGCGGCCCCGCTGCTGCGCCGTCGGCCGCGGGCGGCCGCGTGGGGGGACCTCGCGTCCTTGGTCGCGCCAGCCGTGGCAGCGGGCCCTGCGGCCGCGGCCGTGGGCCCAGCGGCCGCGGGCGAGGCTGCGCCGCCGCCCAGGCGCAGGGGCAGGCCCCGCAATGAGCCCCTGCCATTGGTGGCGCTGGACCCGCAGGCCCAGCAGCTGCAGGTGGACCTGGACCCGCAGGCCCAGCATCTGCAGCTCGACCCCCTGCGCGCCCAGGCGGTCGTGGCCCGCGGCGACAGTGGCCTCATGACGATACTGCCGCACAGGTTCGGTGGCTTCATGTCGGTGACGTCTTTGGTTGAGAACTTGGATGCCGCTCGGCGCTTGAGCCAACTATGTGATGAGGCTTCCATGGACATGAGCATGGTGACAGTTGCAGCATCTCTCTTGTCCTCCGCCAGCCAGCATCGTTTACAATCGAATGCCGTACGGAACCAGCGTTGGGGCTTGGACCAGTGTAAGGCATCGCGCTGCGTCAGGGTGCTGGGCGCGTCGACGGTAGTGAACGACATGCTCACGCAGACGGCGCTTGAGCGCGCGATCGTGCTCAGCGTGCCTCAGCGCTGCCTGCACCAGTACGCGGAGATCGCATGCTATGACTCAGCTGATTTCGAAGCAACTCTGAATGGCAAGGCGTCCATCCTCGGCTACAGAGTTGCAGTGGACGACGTGGACTCCAGGCGTGACGTGAACAATGCGGCCATAGCGCTGCCGAGGAGGGTGCAGGTCGCCATCCAAGCTCCATCGTTCACTGGCGTTTGCAAGACGATGCAGACGAGGCTCAAGTACAGCATGCTGGCGACGATGGCGGACGGCGAGCTCACGATCATTTGCTACTCTAAGGCCCCCTGCCTTGGCTTGCTGGAGAGGGGGACTGGCGAGGCAGTGGCGCTCTCGCAGATCAGAGCGTCTGGGGCGAGCGTTTTTTTCGGACAGGTTCTTGGCCAAAACACGGTATGCGATGACGGATGGCGAGTCTACGAACGAGAAGGCAGAGCGGATCATAGGCCAACAACGGGGGTGGGCTCGCCACAGGGAGTGTTGCGGGAGCCACTTGATCGCGACAGGGTACAAGAAGACAATGGCGCTGTTGGAACCGAGCTTGCGGGGCATGTTGAATCACCAGCTCAGCTTCCAGATGACAGGGGATATGATGTGCTGGCAGAAGTGCATATACGACGACGTCGATGAACGGTGCTTGATCATACAGGGTGCGTGCGACGAGGCTTCGACACTCCACAGGCAACTTGTTTTGAGAACTTTTTGCAGCGCGACCGAACGTGCGAACATGGTGAGCAAGCTCCTGCTGGCCAGCTTACCCAACGGCGACTGGAGGGACCACAAGCACGTTCACTACCACATCACGGACGGCAACATCGATGAGGCCGGCAGGAGCTCCATTGTCCACGTGCTGGCGTCTGGTTTGACTACGGCATTGGCGCCACATGCGCCGACGCGGTACCAGGAGGCCAAGTGGTGCCGCGGGGAGGTCGCAACGGACGAGACTGCTATCGGCGAGGCTTGCCATCGAGTGTTTTCACGCGCTTTCAGGCGATACATGTTGGCGCACGGGCACAAAGTCGGTCCTTTGCCCGCGGGGCGGGGTGGCACTTCAGCGCTTTATATGCGGGGGCGGCGGCGCCAGGCGCAGGCGGGCTTGCCAGCGATCTGCGACGACGTCAGCGGCGACGAGGCGGACATCCAGCCTCCCAGTGGGAATGCAGCCGAGGATGGCGCTATCAAGAACGCCAGGTAGAGGTCGATTGCGTGGAGGTGGTGGTCTTGTAGTCCATTGGGCCTCCTCGTCCTCCAGCGGAACGCCATGGAGTGCTTGCGGTGCATGCGTGAGTTGAATTTCTACATCAATGGCCCGACCTTCGAGCGGCGCGAGACGGCGAAGGCAGCTCGCAGCATTCAGGCGGGCTCGATGGACTTGCTGGTGCGCGACTTCGCGCCGCTGGTGCTGGCTCGGGGTGACGTGGAGGCGCCCTGCTACGACAGACTTGAGCGGCTTTTTACAGTTGAGCTGATGTGGACGTGCGTGCCAGAGGACTGCTACAGCGTTGAGTTTAGGGCGGTTGCCTTCCAGACGTTATCTCGATTGGGGTGCGCAGTTGAGTACGTCTGGCGTGCTGAGCGGCGAGGATTCCCTTGGATATTGTTCCGCGTGTTGGAGCGGCCTGAGACGAAGGAGGCAGTGAGCAAGATGTCAAAATATTTGATGGACCAGATTTCCTTACAAATCATTTCGGACCATCCTGATTTGCAGGGCGACGTGTGCGACGCCAAGATTTTCAGTTTCATGTTGAAGTGGGCTTGCGACAACGGGCCGCAAGAACGAGCTTTCGCCAGGATCAGGAGAACCGTTGGGTCTAAATCGAATCACCTTCCGCAGGTCTCATTCCAGGACATGTCGAACGACTGGGTGTTCAACCAAGCCCGAACGAGGGTATCTCGCCAGCAGTTCGTTGACGAATTGAAGCCTTGCACCCCAGATAAGCTTGAGACTGGCGACCAGGTTCGATCGCGCTCCAAGGGGTCTGGCGGGCCGTGGAGAGCATTTTGTAGACAGAAGTTGTTGGAGAGCAACGGCAAGGCCGACTTTGCAGCGTGGTCCGTGGAGTACTACAACTTGCCGCCCGACGAGAAGGCAAGGTTGAAGGCGATCGGTGAAGCTGCGACTAGTGTTGCCAGGAGTGGATCGTCAGACTTCTGCTCCTCCTTCGGTCCGACGCGAAGCGATGCGATGAAGTTGACGAAGCGTGCCAAGATCTCGCATCACGCCATGCGAGATATCGAGCTCAATCCAACTGACATGGTCTTGCGCAATAGGGGCGAGAACATCCCGTCGTTGGACGAGGCGCTCATTTCCTGCCGCGCAGTTGTCAGGGCGCGGCGGGAACAGGATCAGAAGCAATTGCACGAGGACATCAAGGCAATCCTTCACGCCCCGCGCACCGCCTGCCCAACCCAGAGGCCTCCAAAGCGACCCAGATGGCTTCAAGGAAGACATCCCGGAGGCTTTGGAGGTCTCTTGAGCCGTCTCTGGGCACTCTCAGGGCCACCTTGGGTTCCGTCCTGGGGTCAGCCACTTGGCTGCCATTGGGGCGCTCAGGTTATTCGGGAGGCACCTCGGGGGACCTGGGGCGCCGCTTGGGGGCATCTTAGACGCCATCGGGGAAACGATGGAGGGGCACGTCACGATGGCGCCCCCCCCCTCGGGGGCCACGATCATGGTGAGGGGCGTCAGCCGTGACAATGCCAATTAGCGAAGAGGGCCCTCGGACCGCTTGCTGTCACCCTCCCCTGTCTAGAGTCTAGATCCAGGGGAAGTGGTAAGGGGGGGGGCGGGGGCGTCAACCAGGGGAAGCATTGATCTCGAGAGATTACCTGTCGCCCTGAGGGCTGGTCGGATTGGCGAGTTCAGGGGCGGCAAGGGCAAGTGCCAAGTTGACCAGATGGAGCGTTGTTTGGGGGGATTCTCTGGCAGCTTCGTGGCGGTCCCAGCGTCGGGGAAGTTGCGGGTGCTCGAGCCGAACTTTGACATGTGTGACGATGTCGGGCGGGCATTGGCGTGGGCATCGCCGAGGTACAAGTCCAGCGGCCTCTGCAGCGCATTGGAGGCGTTCAACGATTGGGCCCGTGACTTCATCACCCACGCAGCGGGGCCGAAAGAACAACCTGGTCTGCGGCACGCTGAGTACCTCAAGTGTTGCGCTGCTGAGATGTGCGTGTGCACAGGCGCGGGCAGGGACTTATCGAATCGGATCGCACGCTTTTTGACATTCTTGAGGCTCGTCACGCGCCCTGGGTCCACCGAGCGCTCGATGGTGAATGATGGGAGGCTAGTGGTCAAGCTGACTGGGCGAGACCTCGGCGACGCAGACGATGATATTCCTCATGCGGAGGTATGGTACCATATTGGCCTCATGTATTGGTCTCCATATCTGCCGACGTTCATGGAAGTTGAGCCCGTGCGGTCATTGAACGAGTTGCCGCCGAGACCCGATCGTGTTTACATCAAATCTCTCCTTAAGTTCAAGTCTTGCTTCGCCGCGTTGAAGTGCTTGATGGAGTGCCCTCGCTGGTCGGTGTCGGCCTACATCGTGGAGTATTCACGCAGGGCCATCGTGAGCATCGCGCCGCATACGGTGCCCGTGGTGCCGCTGCGTGGGTTCCCAGCTTATGATATGTGGCCGCGCCCAGGCGGCCGCGCCGCCGCCAGCGCTGCTGAGGCGCCCGAGGGGCCGTGCGAGACCGTCGGTGAGGACGTCGTGGACGACCGCGGCGACGACCAGGAGGGCGGCGGCGAGGGGGGGCACGTCGGCGGCGACATCGACCACGCCGACATCCATGAGGGGGAGCTCGAGGACCTCATCGACGCGGTCGATGAGGCACGAGAGGCGGGCAGGGGCGGGGAGCGGCATTGCTCAGTGACAGCGTTCAACTTGGGTTATCATCGTTCCTGCTTGGATGCCGTGAGTGAAAGGGTTGTTTGATCCAGCGTAGCAGTGCAACTCGTCCCTGGGGCCCGAGGGCGCATGCGGCGATGCTCAGATGGGGGCCGTGGGAAGGGCGTTGATATGCCACCAACCACCCCCTCCCCGTATCCTCATCCTCGTCTCCATGCTCGTCGCCGCCTCCACCCCCCGCCCTCATAGCACTGACTGTGTTTTCCATCGCCATTCCCGCAGCCTCCCTCTTCCATCACCCTGATGTCGTTCGTCGTCCCGTCCGTCGTTTCCCAGGCATCGTCCTCGCCTCCTCGGTGCGTGCGATGGGCGCGTGCATTCGTGCGGAGAGCAGGGCCAGGCCGTCTCGGGATCGGCAGGTAGTTTTGTTACCCGACACCGTTTGGCACGTCCAGGGCCGCATCGGAGCTCCTCCGTGCAATATAGTTTGGTTCGATTGTTGTGGGTGGTTCGCATAGCCGGCGTGCCGATGCAGTGGCGCCGTCTGTAGCGATTTCGGCTCTCTAGCCCGACGCTCAGCTCGCGGTGGCGGGCTCGGGCGCTCGCGAGGGCGACGCCCCGTCCTTCGGCGGCATGCGCGGCGCCCAGCCCGACGCCCCGCTCGACTTCGGCGCGGCCATGCCCGCTGGCGCACGCGCAGGCAGCATGCCGCGCGGCTCCCGATCGAGAAGCCCACCCCGCGCGCACGGCCGCAGCGACGGGGCATCGCAGCGCCAGCAGTTGGCGCAGCTCGCCAGGGAGATGGACACGGACGGGGAGGGGGGGCATTAGTTCTCCAGGTAATCGCCCGCTCTTTCTCCGCCCAGTTCCGCTTCCCGCTCCCGCTCTTGATCGCCAGCCCGCTTCCCCTTGCCCGCCCCAAGCCTTCCCCTGGCGACCTCCTTCCGCCACGCCGCCCTGCCCGCCCACCTCGAGCGGCGGGATGGGCAGGGCGCAGGCTTTCCAGACCATCGCTGAGGTTGAGGACAGGGTCATCGAGATCGACGAGCGGCTGCGCCGAGTCGAGGTTGCGCTCGGGCTAAGGAGCTCGATGGCCGCGCTGACTGACGCCAGCCCGCGCTGGGCCGAGTCAGTGGAGGCGGAGGGGGATGTTCAGACCCCGCATTACCACCCTGACGCTTTCGTCGGCCCGAGGAGCACGCGGACATGCATGCGGTGCGATTATTTCCCATGTGTTTGCGATGTTGCGTTCGCGTCTCTGCCAGAGCCCATCCGTTTACCACCGTCGTACAGAAGGGCCATCCCTCTTCCCGATTCCAGGCCGATGCCGCAGTCCTTCCACGCCATCGCTTTGGCCGACGCTGCGCGGGACGACCAGCGCCGCGCTTTGCTCGACGCCCAGCCTTTGAACCCCACTGGCCGCGCGGCCGCGGCTGTGCCCATCGCCGAGACCGTCGCGGCCGAGCCCTCGCTGGACGCGCAGCCGCATGCGGGGCATCGCGGTGCGGTGTTGCCCATCGCTTCGCCCGAGAGCCAGGCGCCATGAGACCAGGTCCGCGCATGGCGAGTGCGAGTTGCCATAGGCCCTTCATCAGTTGCCAGCCGCCGCTCATATTTCTCAGCGTTCTCATTCACTTTTCACTATCGCCTCCCCCTCCCTGTACACTCTGCCTTTGCACAGATGGAGCAGGTATATGTTTCAATATCATCGGGTGAGGTATAGTAGCGCGTTGAGCGCGTCATCTGGTTTTCCTTTGCATGGCCCACGTTCGGGCTCACTTGAGACATGTGGTTCCGAGTCAAAACGGCGAGCTTGTGAGGCGCTCTGTCTTACGTGGGGCGCGTCGTCGTTTCCCGCGCTCGTTGCCAACCGCCCGCCCGCCTGCCCGCCCACAGCCCACCCGCCACCCACCAGCCGCCAACCCACCGCCCGCCCACAACGCCACCCACCCACCACCCACGCACTACCCACCCACCCACCCACCACCCGCCCACCAACCACCAACCACCCACCCACCACCCACCACCCACCCATCGCCCACCCACCACCCGCCACCCACCCACCACCCGCCCACCAACCGCCCGCCGCCCACTCACCACCCATTCATTACGGCACATCCCTCAGACGATTCGTGTACCATAGGGGGCTCCATTGAAACAAATATTGACAATTGCGGTGACCGCAGTTGCACGTCGCTGAGATCAGGAGGATGGGAAGGAGGAGGGGGAGGAGGAGGAGGAGGAGGAGGAGGAGGAGGAGAACGAGGCAGAGGATGAGAAGGAGGAAGAGGATAATGAGGAAGATGAGGAGGATGAGGGGATGATGAGAGGGATGCTGAGGAGCAGCAGGAGGAGGGGGCTTGGTTCATCCACTCGTCAATGCGTACAAACACATGTCTCATACAGGCGCAGCTCCCGTGCAAACGCAACTGCCTCTACATACATAGCTCCCGTACAAACACAGCTCCCTGTAAAGTTTTACTTCCTTTCTTCGCTCAAGTCATGCTCCCACCGAAATGCTTGAGGGGTGTGCCGAATTCGGCGTGCGTGACGCATGCTGGCGGTCCCGTTGGGGCCTTCGCCCCCGCGAAGCGTGAGAGGGGCGCGCCGAAATGGTGATGGCGATGACGATGATGATGATGATGCTGAAGATGGGAGAGGGGAGGGAGGATGGGGAGGAGAGGAGGGGGGTGCTATGAGGAGACGCGCGGCACTGTTTCTTCAAAACGAGGACCCAACGCCACAGGATCGCAGGATGGTTGGTGAACTCTAAATCACCACAGCGCCATCGCCGACAATGCATGTCCAAACGCAGCGCCCGAGGGGCCATATGACAGCGCCGACCTAAACGAAATGGCAATGATGAGGTCGGGGTGGCCCCACGTTTGGGGCGCTGGCCATCGGCACAGCCATGGCTACCATGCGCAGCTTTGTTTCGATCGGCCACGCGCAGGAGCTCATCGAGCGCCCCGTGCCCCTGCAATGCCATTCAGAAACGATGCCCAGGCGATCGGAGCCGACCAGGGAAGAGCACACCGTAGCAATTACGACGCGGGCAACCGTTGTCGTTGGATCGAGGAGGACGCACGAGGGAGGGGGGATCAAGAGAAGAGAGACGGGCATATGTGGATGGCGAGGGGTGCGATCAGAAGGGCCAGTGGCTTCTGGAAGATCCCCCGAGTCTTTAGGGGCTGTCCTTCGTTGACGCTGTCTTGAGTTGTCATTGTTGGCGCTTCGCGAACCTCCGCCTGCCCACCGAGAAACATGCCCCAGGCGAGTTGTCTTGATCGTCGGGAGGAGGCAGGATGGTGGGGGCGATCGAGGAGGGACGGGGTCATCTATAGGCGCAGTCGTGGCCCTGGAAGCAAGCCTGAGCTCGAGCGGGCGCTCCATGTGCGCGGCGCACCCCTCCCGTTTTTCGTCGCCCCACAGGGAGTTCCTTAACGTTACAGAGGTTGGCGGTGACTGGGTGGGTGGTGAGTGGGTGACTGGCGAGTTGGTGGTGGGCTGGCGGCGTGGCGTGTGGGTGGTGGGTCGGTGGTTGTTTGGGCTCAGCGTTGGCGGGTGGCGGTCGGGCGGCGGGCGGCGGGGCTGGCCTGCCTTGGGCCTCGAGCGGCCCGACGCTGCCCCGACAAGCAAGTGTGTTTCAATGCGCCGCGAATGCCGTTTGCATGGCGGGCGGAGGGCGCAATAGGTGGGATGTTGCTCTCGGCGGACGCATGATCTTTGAGGGGGGGAGGGGGTGGGCGTGGCGGGGCGCGCAGCGCCGTGGGAGGGTAGGTTGCTGAGCTTCTCGCTGGGCCGCATGACCACGGACCTGCTGGCGGACCACACGGCGGCGGCGGCGCGCCGCCCGTCGGCGGGGACGGGGCCGCTGGGGCAGCCGATCCAGTGCTTCTTCCAGAGCCCCCAGGCCCGCCTCCAGGTCCGCCTGAGCCTCCGCACGGGGGGGCTCCCATGCCCCCAGAGCCCCATCCCAAAGCAGCGGCAGTCCCTGCCGATGCAACGATTCGCGTGGCAGGGGGGGCGATCAAATTTTATTCGAAGTACAACAACTTCGAGGCGATATGTTCAAACCCTGGCCACGGGTGTTGTGTGATGCGGCGAACGCCGCTAGCGAAGACATTGCATGGCCCCGACGGGCTTCCTCGGGGTGGGAGGCCGATCGGTTTTTTGGTGGCGTGGTTGAGCCTCGCCATGTCGACGGGGTCCCGAGAGGAGCACAAAGATAAACTCAGAGTTTATAATTTTACCCGCCCTGTTGCGTGCCGCATGCGGTTTCGAGACATAGTCAGGCTCGACCCAAGCTCGCCCATCCTTTTTGGCAAGGAGCGGGGTCAGGAGCCAGGCGAGCTCGAAGAGCAGGCCGACTTGGTTGACTTGTGGGCTCGTCCTCCAGGTGTGCATGGCTAGGAGTGGAGTTCAGGACGCTTGCAGTGCGCAGTGGTTCCCGATGGCAGCGCGGAGATGCATCAGCCCCTCCCGAGAGCTCGGCGCCCGCGCGGACGCGGGCCTTTCGCTCGGTCAACAGGTTTCTTCGAGCCGCATCGTCCGATAGGTGCGAGTCTGACAGTTGGTCACGTTTCCTTCTTGCACGCATGCTTTCGCGCGCGCGTGCGCATGTATCTTACTTGGGGTGTTTGTTTCTGATGTTGCCACAAGGGCCCCCGATCTCTTCTTTATCCACAACTAGGCGCTACTTACGGGTGGCGGACAGCGGTGCCGTAAAGTCACTTTAACCACACATATGACACGGAGCTGATGTATGCTAGATGTACTTAAGTGGTGGTTAGTTGCACTTAAGTGGTGTTTAGTTGTAGCTAACTGGTGTTTGTATGTATACACTCGCACATCGGATCGATACACGCGTCATAACTACAACTAAAGGGTACTTAGTTGCACCTAAGTGGCGTGTAGTTGCACTTAAAACGGTTTTGCGTTGTCCAGCGCGAGGTCTTTAGTTGAGACTAAAGTAACTCAGGGTCGTTGTGATCATTGCGCGGCTATGTGCAACTAAAGATACTTTCGGCTTGCTGGCATGGCGCCGAGCAACGTAGGACCTGCAGTAACCCGAGGTGCTGGGGGGCACGGGCGGCGCATGCGCGCGCACGTTGCGTGTGCACCAGAGTAGCGCAGGGGTTGCGCGCACGGGATGAGCAGCGGGAGAGCAGCAGAGGGGGGAGCCTTAGTTGCACAGGGGTGGGGTTCGGCTTCAGCAGAGGGGTGAGGTTCGGCTGCGGCTGCGGGGTCTGACTGCGGGTGGCGGCGACGCTGGCGGCTTGGGCCTTCCTGACAGAGCCTCGTGGGCCCTCCTGACAAAGCCTCTTGGGCCCTCCTGGCAGAGCCTCTTGGGCCCTCCAGAATCCAGACAGAGCCTCTAGGGCCCCCGTGCCAGAGCCTCTTAGGCCCTCCTGAAACAGCTTCTTGGGCCTTCCTGACAGAGCCTCTAGGGTCCTCCTCACAGAGCCTCTTGGGCCCTCCTGAAAGAGCCTCTTAGGCCCTCCTGACAGAGCCTCTTGGGACCTCGAGGCTGCACGGTCGGCTGCGGCGTGTCCTCTGCGGCTTCGGCCCAAGCAGCTGTTCAGAGATCAGTCGACAATATCTCAGACAACCGCTCCGCGCCTGAGAGGCGCATCAGGCTCGGCGATCGGGCCCGCCAATTACTTGCTGCGCCAGTATGCCGCCCAAGCGTGATCCCACGAAGGTCCTGCCCAGTGGCCTCCCCCGACCAAGCCGCAGGATGCTCTATGGGAACCCCGAAGCTTTTTCGAGGGAGTACCTCCAGCGGGCGATGAAAACACTGCAGGAGGAGGTGATCGAAAACAAGAAAG